ATGGAAATGGATCAAATAAAAAGAAGTTATACTTCTTTATAAAAAAAATAGAACTATATTGACTCAAAATATAATTAAGAAATAGTGTAGGTGAAAAAGAGGAGGTTCCGCAACAAACAAACAAAAAATATAATTGCATGTTATTTTTCTCCATATCTCATAGCAAAACCTCACTTTTTCATTTACATTTTTACTGTTTTAAAACTAAACTTTAGAAATATTTATAAATAAAAAAAAAGGACATACGATATAATTTAGGATAATGATGGAAGACATATTTAAGAGCTAGCTAGATAGGATGTTATAGCCAACTGCTCTTTTCCTTTTACTAGCAAGGGTTTAGTGTTGTCACTTGTGGCAAGTGGCTTATTCTCCTTAAAAAAATGATTTAATTAAAAAATATTGTTAGAAGATTTATAACCGTGAAGTTTAGAACAAAGAAATTAATTTTTTACATTTTTCGTTTTAAAATAAGTGATGTTTTAAAATCAAACTACAATTAATCTATATCGCTCGTGACTTAAAAATTTAGACACCTTCAGGGTGTGGGGTTAAGTTTTTAATTTCTAAATATTATTTTCAAAAGAAAACGTGTTGTTCAGATAGATAAAATACTCATTATCGTTGGTTATGTCAAAACCATGAAAATGATTTTTGTTTTGAGTTGTATAATTATCTTAGTGTCGTTGGTTATTATGTTAATGCTTATTAATTATCATGAAAAGTATTATTGTTGTTGTTATTATTAGTAGTATTAATATTAATATTACTATTATTAATATCTTTCTGTCGTATTGGTTATTATGGTTTGTGATTTTGTGTAAGAATTGTTATTATTGTCAATATCTAATAACCACCTGTACGTGCCTTAATAATGTAAGGATGAATTTAAAAAAAAAAAAAAAAAAAACTTCAATTCTTAATAAATGTTTGCTTACCTTGTTTTAGGAAGCAGCTTTGATTAAACATGTGTTTTGGTTTTGAATATGTTTTAAATGTATTTTTTTTTAAACTAAAATTAGTCTTAAATACTTTTTTCTTGAAAAAATCCTTTTTAAAATATTTAAACAAGTGATGAACCAATTTTAAAAATAAATTTTGATTTTAATAAGAACCGACTTTGAAATCAGATTTAAATTAAAATTTGGTTTCAAAATCAATCAAGCAAACATGATGCATGGCTTTGTCTGCAAACCGGTTTAGAAACTGGTTTGAAACTAGCTTGGTGAAAAGTTGAACTAATATTAAAAAGAAAAACTTTTTTTATTTTTAAAATTTAATAAAAAATATCTAGTTTTAAAGTGAACTTGATTTGATTATATATAAAACCAAATCACTCAAAATTAAAAGTCACCTTTTAAATTGAACTTAGTTTGAGTTTTGTATAAAACCCATATCATACGCACTCCTAAATATCGAAATGAAGAAAACATCACCTAATTTAATTTGCAAAGAGAAAAGTATAAGCAATAAATTATTGTATGTTTATAAAATATTAACAGAAGAAGAAGGAAGGAAATAAAATAAAATAAAAGTTTGGAATAATTTAATCAGTATGCGTATTTTGAGTACCTGAATAGAAATGAAGAAAAGAAATTAAGATGCACATGCATGCATATAGAATTCGGTTGAGACAGCAGTTAGCAGTGACAATCAATTATTAGGTTGTTTGTATTATTTGATGAATGCAGGCTGCATATACTGTTGGTGGTAATCATCCACCATCACCATGCATCATATGCATGGATTATCCTTAAAATTTTCTTGGGGGGCTATAATTGAAAAGTTTGGGTGGGATATATTCTCATATTGTAGGAGGGTCCACAAAGAACAGAAGAAAACCAAAACCATTGAAGTTGTAAACCATTGAAGAGGAACAGCAACTTAACTCATAAAATAATTGGCCCACTGTCTTAAGCTCAAGGGTTTTTATCAACTTGCTTCTATGTGGTCCATCCCAACCCTAAGGACTCTTCCGTACAGGATGTATATGCCCAATAATACGGAACTTTGTTCTATATGCTAACACTAACACTTTCTTTTTTATACAAATATTACACTCTATCATGCTATGATTAAAACTGTTGTCGTCCTCTCATCGTATGTCCTGCTGTTATTGTACACACCTATAGGAAAATGTGTAAGGAAAATTCTCCAAAAAATTTAAAGAAAAAATTATTTATAGTAAAAGGTTGTGAAAATAGAATATCCCAATTAAAAGATGAGAGATTTTCGGATATGATAAAATTTATTTTTACTAAACACCTCCTTATATATATAATAACATGGCATCATGCCAATAATTATGTCGATGATATGCATGCGTGTTAACCCAATCCAAGTCATTCTAACAAGTAAGATTCTGGATAAAGACTTCATGGGACAAACAAGAGAAATGAAGTATAGCCATCAATAATATTATCCCGAGCAAAAGGAGGATTGTGCAATGGATGTGCTTTTAATTTCTTTATTCGTTTTCTATTTTTGTTAAAATTAATGAGGAAAAATACTTACACGAACCTGGTCGAAAAGACAAACTAGAACTGGGAAAGGACTGAGATGTGAAATTGGGTGGGGACTACGGTATGGGCAAGAATTTATTTTCAGTTGAGAGCATGTATACATTTTAGGAGGAAATAAAAAACTTAATTGGACACTGATAAAAAAAAAATATATTACTCCATCAATTAAAGTATTTAATAATGAGGAGATGATTATAATAAAAATGCGCGTAGTATTTAAAATATAAAATAATAATAAATATGTTGATTTGAGTGGAATTATACTTGATTTTCTTGTTACATTAGAGGGTGAAGCCAAATATTAGATGGTGGTTGGTTATTTGAAAGAAGAAATAATGGAGGAAATGTGGTAAAGTGTGTGTGTATAGAAAGAGTAGGTTTAATTAGTTAAGATAAGAAGATAAAAAGAGAAGAGGGCATGGTGGGCAGTAGCAGGAAATAAAAGGTGAGGGGGGATGAACTTGACTAAATGAAGGTCCACAGCCTCGTGAATCCCATCATGCTGCTAATATGAACTTCACCAAATTCAGGTCCACACCCCTCTCTCATGTGGGTCCTTCCTCACATACATAGCCCACAACCCAACACATACCACCTACATACAACAAATTACTATAACCTTACCCTAAATATCTTACTGCATCTGCATTTAATATATATTAATCACTTATACACGGTTAGAATAAAAAAATTTTATACTAGTAATCAATCAGAGTCGTTAATAGTATCTTTTTATCTATTCATTTAATTAAATTAAATAAAAAATATTATTAACAACTCTAATTAACTGCTATACTGACAATGTATAGGTAATTAACACTTAATATATTATTACTTCCCTAACTTATTATTTCTTCTTATTTTAATTCTACTTTAATGCTATACTCATATCAGACAATATCCAATTTATGAGACAAGAAAAAAAAAGTTTTTACATATAATTATGATATAATAAAGGATAAGAGAAATACAAAGAAAAAAGGAAAAATATATAAGTGATTTAATAAAAAAAATGAGATAAAAGAACATGAAATAAAAAGTATAATGCTAACCTTGCTCATGTAAATATTATTTGCTGGTATCTCCACCTGTACTTTAATTTTGTCAATTTAATTAATATCGGTGCAAAAACATAGTTTATGAAGCGGATTTTATATAAGTGTAATCTATATCACATCGAAAATGATACGATAATAAATTTGTAAATATGATTAAATTTTTTATGTTACACGTTTCACCTATTATAGAAATTTATTTTTATGTGAGATGTTATTATACTTAGAGTTAATCACTCATACACTGTCAGTATAAAGTTTTTTTACACTGACAACCAATCATATATTTTAGTTATGTCATGTCATTGTTAAAAGTAAATATGTTTATATTGACATGGCACAACTAAAAGATATAATTGGTTACCAGTGTAAAAATACTTTACACTGACAATATATAAATGATTAACTCTTATACTTATCATAAAATGTATTGAAAAAAGTTAAGTTTATAATTTAGGGTTTAGGATGTATAGTTGAATATTCCAACCTTTTTTATAATAGGTGTAATGACATCTAATATAAATAAAATAAAATAAAACTTTTTATGATTGATAAAATAACATTTGACATAAAAAAGTACTTTAAAATTTTAAATTGATAACACAGTTTGGATTCGAAACTCTTATTTTTGATATTGTTTTCTTTTCTTAATTGTTATCCTTCTCACGCATTCGAGTAAATTATTTCATTTTTTTATATTTTTTGTTATTATTATTTAAATATTGATAGTGTGGTGATTTGAAAGTAAACATGATGATGTCAAAACACAAAATATTATGATTGTAAAAGAAAATGCAAGAATAAGAGGGAAATAAGAAAATATAAAGAGATGTTGTTATAAGAGAGATAAAGAGCATGACAAAAAAATGTAAAGAAATGCAACAAGAAATATACGACAATAAAAAAATAGAATAATTAATACGATAACAAAATATAAAAAAATACGACAGGAGAAAAAAAGCATACTAAAGAAATATTTATTAACTTATAAAATAATATATTTTATGTTAATTAATTTGATAATCAACATAAAAAATTAAAATATGTTAGATTAAATATTTATATAATCAGTATAAAAGATTAAGACTTCTTATATAGTAAAAATATATGACAAGTGTAATTAATATTAATATAAAAAAATAATTTTTATGGATGATTAAAAAGTTGGAAGACAGCCATGTAAGCACTTTAATTTCCTCAAATGTTAATATCCCCCTGTCGAAATGAAATTTGTCAAAGTGAGGCACAGCTAGTGAATTCTGATCATGTGATCTTATCCTTTCTCAAAGATACTCTCTCTCTCTCATAGACACACACAATGAATCTTCCTCCCTTCCAATTGAGTTGACCCACCCATGCCCACATACCATCCCTCCATACACGCTCACAATATAATCAAATTAGCAATTACCAATCATGTCCAAATCATCCCAACTTCATTATAATATACACTTCATTTTTCACAAACTAAGCTTCCTCCTATATATACATCACCCCTCAAAACCAAACCACACCTATTCCCAACTTTCTCTCTATTTTTCATCCCTACTTCTTCATGCTATAGCACTCAATAAACCCTTATCAACACACAAATAAAAGTTAGTTAGTTAGTTAAAATGGATGGAGCCACTTCCACAGACGAAACCACCACAACCGCCGATTCTCTCTCGCTTCCGCAGCCGCCCAACACGCTAAGCCGCCTCGCCCCCGACGCCGGATCCGCCGAAGCGGAATCCCGGAAACTGCCGTCGTCCAAATACAAAGGCGTGGTGCCGCAACCGAACGGTCGCTGGGGCGCTCAGATTTACGAGAAGCACCAGCGCGTGTGGCTCGGCACCTTCAACGAGGAAGACGAAGCCGCCAGAGCCTACGACGTCGCCGCGCAGCGCTTCCGCGGCCGCGACGCCGTCACGAACTTCAAGCCTCTCGCCGCCGACGACGCCGAGACCGACTTCCTCAACTCGCATTCCAAGGCCGAGATCGTCGACATGCTCCGCAAGCACACCTACCACGACGAGCTCCACCAGAGCAGGCGCGGCACCAGCGCCGCCTGGAGGCGCCGCCGCGACGGCGAGATGGCCTCGAGCGGCGCGTGCGAGGCCAAGGCGCGTGAGCAGCTGTTCGAGAAAACCGTCACGCCGAGCGACGTCGGGAAGCTGAACCGGCTGGTGATACCGAAGCAGCACGCGGAGAAGCACTTTCCGTTGGGCGGCTCCGGCGACGGAGTGTTGGCGTGCACGGCGGCGGCGAAGGGAGTGCTTTTGAACTTCGAGGACGTTGGAGGAAAAGTGTGGCGGTTTCGTTACTCTTATTGGAACAGTAGCCAGAGCTACGTGCTTACTAAAGGATGGAGCCGGTTCGTCAAGGAGAAGAATCTCAGAGCCGGTGATGCGGTTCGGTTTTTTAAATCCACCGGTCCGGACCGCCAGCTTTATATAGATTGCAAGGCCCGGACTGGAGACACTAATGCCAGCGCTTTGTTTATTCCGGTTGGACCGGTGGTTGAGCCCGTTCAGATGGTTCGGCTTTTCGGAGTCAACCTTTTGACACTCCCCGTTTCGGAAGGTGTTAATGGTTATGGGAAGCGGAAAGAGATGGAATTGTTTGCATTAGAATGTAGCAAGAAGTTAAAAGTAATTGGAGCTTTGTAACACTGCTTAGTTTTTTAGTTTCTTTTGTAACCGATGAAATCTTGAGGTTCAGCAAGACGGTGGCCATGGTGTTGTTGCAACTTGCCACTAACAAAAGGTGTATATTCTTAGACAAAAAGAAAAAGGATAAATTAATTAGGGCAACAAAATTTGTATAACTAAGTTTTTTTTCTTCCATATGAAGTAGGTTTTTTATTTTTAGACACAAGGACATTAACTGTGAACACCTATATTTACTGCAAATATTTGAATTCAAATGCTCCCCCTTACGAAAAATTAATTCCTTCTACGAGGTTTATTTTCAAGTTTGTTAATTTTGTTACTTGTTCATGTATAACAAACATGTCGGTATTTCCAATTTCATGATTTCAGCTTGGTTTTAATATGCTTCTTACTGTATATTTAAAGGAAATTATTCAATCTACACTCCATTTTAAAGTATAAGTGAAAAGAAAAGAGAAAAAAGGAAAGGTAAAAAAAGAGAGCGAGAAGATAGATCGATGTGATAATAATTTGATATAAAAAAATAAAAAGAAGATAGAAGATAAATTGGATTCGAATACATGAATATAATTATTCATATTAAAAAATATCTTAAAGATATAATAGAATAAATAATTATTTTCTTAATATATATATATATATAGTATTTTTGTTGTGTGTGTAGGGAATGAGTATTCAAAATGATTGTTTGGATGAGAAATGAAAAGATTTATTTATTGTTTCTTTTTATTGATTTCACAGCTTTTAGGAAAAAGAAAGGTTGGGAAAAAATGAGAAAGTGAATAGATGAATATATTTAGGTTGGGGCCTGGGGGGTCCATGGCATGACCTGGGAAAGTGTGAACAAGTTGATAATGAGACATTTGTCCAATAAAGAAAGAAACTAAGAAAGAGCTACTTGGCAAGTGGGCATTGCGTACTGTACATGCCCATAGCTTTTTCTAACATTCTTAAAATTATAGAGCTTAGCACTTCAGTAGTACCTTGTTTTTGGAATGGTCAACTTTCCATTCAGCTAGCATTCTTTGCATTGCATCCTTCTCCACCACTCAAAAATTCCCAACTCCTTCCCTCACCCTCACCCTCCCTCCTTTTTCCTTATTCTTTATCTACATCACTTTTTATATTTTCTTAAAACATAATATGCGTTTTATTAGCAGTACTATTACCACAAACTATACACTCATTTTTCTACTCTCAAATTAAATCTTTCTGATTATTATACATACAATATAAGTAGAATTAGATTGATTTTGGGAAGGAAAAAAAAACACATTTAGTTCAATCATTATTGAATATTTTTCTCTAAATATCTAATCAATTTATTTTTAAATTAAATTTGATTATTTCATTTTGGTTTTAATTAAATTTAATTCCAACATTTCAAGACATAATGTAAATATTAAAATAAATATAAAACTATAACTTTATCTAACATTACACATTAGATTTCATATATAATTCAAATCACATAGTTGAAAATTAAATTTAAAGCTTAATTAATAATATTATACTTTTGGTTCTCCAAGTAAGATAATTGTGTGATTTTGATATATCAAATATTAATTGAGTGATTTAAAATATAAATTGAGTGAATACAAATTGTTCAATTTATTATACTAGTTAAAATAGACATTTTATGCTTTCGAGTAATTTGAAGGAAAAAAAAAAAAGAATTGTTAATAATAAATTTTTGAAAAAATATAATTAAAAGAGTAATTTTTGAAAAATGGTAGAGGCAAAAAGTAAGAGTAGTCATATGGACAAAGTTATCCCAAAAGGATATATACATCAAATGAAATTATTTTCTTCATTAATATTATAGATAAAATAATACATCATTATTTATATTTTTCTTTTTCTAGTTTCTTTCCTCTTAATATCAAATACTTTTTTCATGTAGAAAAACTCACTTTTTTTTTCGATAATAAAAGTATAAAACACACCGTATATTTTAATATGAGAACGAGGTAATTATGTAATACTATTCAAGCTCTCACAAAATCCAGTTGACGAATAAACGGCGAACCTGAACAAAAAGGAAGAATAATTCATAGGTCAATAAAGGAACCATCACTAATTAATAATTATGGAGCTTTTGTAATTATTTATTAAAAAGACATTTAGGACAATCCTTTTATTTCAATACGGTTGTTAAGAGTTTTATTGGATATAAGTTAAAAAACACTTTTAAGAATTTCTATATTAAAGATAAAAAATATTTTTTAATAAAAAAAAATTCAAAAACAATTTTAAATTTATATCTAAACAAACTTCAAATGACCTTCAATATCCACCCATCAGACCTAGAGATTTATTCGAACGATTTGAACTTAAAATCGGTTTTATAAGAAAACTATAATTAGAATTTAATTATATTGACACATAGAATATTAATTTATTTCTTCATTAATAAATTCATGAATATAATAATTTATTATTATTTTCTGATATCAACTTATTATTTTTTAAATATTCAATTGGTTCCTAATTTTCTTTGCATCAAGTTTATCTCCAAAATAAAAACTTTTTTGTTGATCGATGACGAAATTTGCTTATTAATAATCCCTTAAAATTATTTATTATTAAATAATTCTACTAATATTATTTACCTCTCTCTATTGTTGTTTATGAGTCAATTTACTCACACAAATAAAAAAAATGATAAATTATTTTATAGTCTTGAATTTATAAAAAGAAATTAGATTTAATTACCTTTTGTGTCTCTCAAACAAGCCAATTGTTAAAAAAAAAAAAAGAGTATAACAATTGTGTTCTTTTAATAGCCACTACTCTAGAAAAATGTCATTTTCCTGCAAATTTTCTTGCAAAAAAATCTTTGCATAAATTTTTTGAGAGTTTTCCTGCAAAAAAATATTTGCAGAAATTTTTTGCGAATTTATTTACGAAAAATAATTTACATATATTTTTTACAAATTTTGCTACAATTTTAATGATCATAGAATTTTTTTTTCCATGGTAAAAATTTGCAGAAAATATTGTAAGAATTTTATTTTGTTTCTTGCAAATTTTCTTATAAAAATAAATTCGCAAGTAATGTTTACTAAATGGTAAAAAAAATTTGCAGGTAACTTTTCCTGTAGATTTTCCTGCAGATTTTAATCCGCAAGAAAAATAAAAAAAATATTTAAATTTATAAGTTTAATATTTTAAAAACACTTTAAGTCCCACATCGCTTGAAAATAAAATAATTAAAGAGTATATAAGTTGGGGCAACACTTACCTTACAAATTGATTTGTATAGTTGAATGTTAAGCTTATAATCTACAATCTTAGAATTTAAAAGATTAAATGTTACATGAAGAATTATTGATAGAATTTATAGTAATTTCTTTAATTTTTTTCGTAAAAAATATTCATGCAGAATTTCTTGCGAAAAAATTCGCAGGAAACTTTCTTGCAAATTTTCTTGCAAATTTTTTTTTGTATGAAATTTTACTGGGAACTTTTTTCGCAAGAAATTTTGCAGGAAAATTTTCTGTGAATTTTAAAATTCGCAAAAATATATTATTCACGGAGGTATTACTTGCAAATAAAATTTTGCAAAAAAATTTGTAGGAACAACGTAAAATTTTCAGAAAAAATCACATGTAATAAGAAAAATTCTAGTAGTGAGCCCAAGTTTAAATTAAAATGAATTAAACTTTTAAACATCATAATTATGTAATTTTTATAATTCTTTAATTTTATTTAAATCCAACAATTTTAGTTGACATTATACTTACACACACATAACACTCAATTAAGTATATGACACGTACCCTGATATAACATGACAATGTATTATATAAAAAATAAAAATAAAAATTATCAAAATGCAAAAAATGCGAATATATATCCCTACTCCTTTACCTGCTATACAACTAATATATATTTTTTTAAAATGTGTTTATTTTCTTATTAATATTTCTCTGTTATAAATTAGAATAAACAATTTGGAGAATGAAACTCTTACTACATTCAATTTCTCAATTAAACATTGATCTTAACATTTTTTTTCTCGATCACTGGAATATACATTATACACCCCATAACAAAATATTATCTTTCAATTATATTGATTTACCCTTCTTTTTTATCACTGACTGTATATTTAATTTTTATCGGTGGAGTTAATTTTTTTTTAAAAATTTAAAAAACTCTCTCAATATAATTAAACTATTTATTATAAATATAAAATATAATTTTTTTTTATATTTAATGATATTTATTTATAACGAATTTTTATCATAATTTAATTATACGTTATAAATATTTATTTATTACATTTTTAATTATATAAAAATTATCATATAAAAAGCACACGATGAAATATTAGTAATATTATTTATTGATTGATGAGTATCCAAAGTCCGGATCCAATTACGTATCACATACGTACGTACGTATGCATGTAACCGATAATTTTTCAGGCATAATCACATGCAGCGTATACATAGTCATGTTATCCTAATATAATATTACACTATATTATATCATTGTGAAATACTTAATTAATAAGAATATTCCCATGAGTTAATCTTGCACTCAAACACGTTAGATTTGTCGCAGTTGACATTTACAAAAAAAATAATACTAGCTACAATACCTATCTACTATATATAATTTTGTGTGTGTCTGTATATATATAATCACAATGGTAATGTACGTGTATATGGCTGAAATTGTTTTTAAATTAAATTATGATGTTTTATCATTTTGTCTGAAACACCGAAACTTTCTTCTCTCAACTATCACGTATCACGGAAATTAAGTCGCAGCATTACCTTTGACTGTTTTTAATTATTTATTTTAGTGACTGCTAAGTAAAGTCTTCAATTCTCTTCTGCTAACAAAAATAATATTTAGTTTTAAATTACCCACTCTTTGGCAACAGATTAAGCATAATTAAATAATATTTCAAAACAACTGTTTAACGTTTATAAATTAAACGGTTAAAGAGTTTCATTGAAAAGTTTTTTATATACTAAAGTGATCAGAAAACATATCAGTACTACATTTAAATAGTAATAATAAAAATTAAAAAGGCATGCATATCATACCTATGTAACAATTTATTCAAAAATAATATTAAAAAATTACAGTAGCAATATATTTTAATTAAATATGTGACCAAACATGATTTTCCAGAGATTAATGATTTATATCAGAATGAAAGCGTGGACATTTTTCAGTAACTGAGGAAGAAGGTTGGTTAAGGAATCTCCGGAGTGATTGTTCCGAACATCATCGGGTGAAGATATTTCTAACGGATGCAAATACGAATGAGGACAAAAAAGTCCCAAACATATATGAGGTGGGTGGAGATACAGATTATATTTCCTATATATATTG